GCCAAAAAAAAAAAAAAGAGCGACAAAATGAAATGAAAAAAAATCAAGAGTGATTAAAAGAAAGGGGTACATACTGAAAGAGTTAGTTAAGGCCGAGATGAAACATGCAACCGTTCAAACACATGGTAGAAACGTTTAACTGTTAGGTGCATTGCATTCCAACGTGCGATTTCCTATATGTTAAATGTCTCAAAACTAATAAGGTTGTTGGGTGTGCAAACTAGCCAAATTTTGGTGGTTGGTTTTGTTGGTACTCTAGCCTCCCCTCCTTCACAAGATCCAAAGGCACAGACGGCCTCCGCAAGTAATCTATCAATCATCGGTCCTGAGGATAGCCCGACATTGGCTATTCTGCAGCTAGAATCAGCACCTGCTGAAGAGAATAAGATGTTGCATCTCCGCATATTGGAAATGTGGGACACCTGGTCTAATGGTAGGGAACCGCCAAGTGCAATCCTTGGGTTCCCTGAATTGATTCTCAGGTCAGGTGAGGTTACCAACGCCCCTGTTCCCAACCCGCTCATCCCATGCGGGAACCCTGCAATACCCTCCAATGATCCTGGCATGCCTTATGTGGTTCGCTCCTAGGAACCGGCTTCAAGGGCACCGCCTCCAATGTTCTTCTTTCAGGGTCCACAGCTTCAACCAGAAATAACATAAGTGAGCCCGTACTCTTTCACTCAACCTCCGTAATATGATCTCTCGGTGGAGCAAGAAAAGGTTGTTAAAAATCCCGAGCAAGAGGAAATGGCTCAGAAAATGAAGAGCCTGGAATAAATCCTGAAAAACATGCAAGGTCTGAGTGGCCAAAAGAGTGTCTCATACTCTGACCTCTGTATGTTTCCCCATGGCCACTTGCTAGCTGGCTTCAAGATGCAAAAATTTGAAAAGTACGACGGGCGAGGAGACCCGGTCGCTCATCTGAAACGATATTGTAACTAGCTGAGGGGTGTTGGTGGAAAAGAGGAGCTGCTAATGGCCTATTTTGGGGAAAGCCTCTTCGGAATTGCTTCTGAGTGGTATACGGATCAAGAAATTACTCATTGGCATGTATGGGACGATATGACTCGAGATTTTGTTGGCCAGTTCCGATATAATGGGGACATCGCTCCCATCACACTATTATCCACTTCAAAATGCTGCTTATGCCGTGGCACCGCCTCCCTATGCGGTGATGAATGCACAACCTTACCCGCGGCCACAACATTATCCAAAAAATCGAGCTCCACCTCCCAGAAATTTCCATCCTTACCAAGATCCATATAATCCTCAACCAAATGATCCCCAATACAATCCTCGCCCAAGAGAGCCTTTCAAAAATAATTAGTTCACCCCTATTGGTGAATCATATTCAAGCTTGTTCCAAAAGCTAATCAGGCTAAATCTATTGCAGCCAGTGACATCGAACCGGCCAAATCCCGAGTCCCCCTCGCACCGAGCTGATGCTAGATGTGAATACCACTCTGGAGCAGCAAGACACAGTACAGAAGACTGTTGGACCCTCAAAAGGGCAGTTGAAGATTTGATTGAAGTTGAAAGATTTGTTTTCCAGGATGAAGAAACTCCTGATGTGATGAACAATCCGTTGCCTGCCCACAACAGCGGGCCAATAGTCGGAATGATTTGTGAAGATAAGGAATTTGATCCGGCACTGAAGCCCATTGCAGCCATTGCCGTGACAGAAGAAAAGCCAAAAAATGGTCGCCAAGCATGAAAGTTTCCCATCAGATGGGAGTTTTAGTAGCCAGTCTTGCTGTCCTTTCTGTGTTCGGATTATCTCAGGGTATGATCCGTATGTTTTACTTTATTGTCTTACTTTCCGATGTAAACCCTTCTATCTTCAAAAATTAAAAAAAAATCAAAAATCAAATGAAATTAATATTTCATTGTGCAGGAATGTCTCTTTTCTATATCTTGTCATTTTTTCTTATACTCTTTTTAGTTCTGTTAAATGCAGATTTCAAAAACATGACATGCTTGCGGACTTCATGCCCAGATCCTAAAACGTTGTCAGACTTCGAAATAATGAATCAAGAATTAGATTGCAATGAAGATAAGTTTAAGGAAATAAAACAAAGAGTTGGAACAACTAAAGAAAAATTGGCTTCAGTTTGGAAAGATCCGTACATTGCAACAAGAGTACTGCCAAAAGAGTGCGTTGTACTTGGGACACATCGAATGAAATGTCCCTATAACAACTGTCAATGCAAATACAGCCAAAAGGTACTATGTTTGGTCCTCCATATAGTATTAATATTCTACGGTTGGGATGACGAAGGCTTTCATTCTCGCTACCCAAATACTATCAACCCTTTGCAAATCCTTTGAGCCG